CTTATTTCACTGTTAAACTCAGTATAATATCACCACAAAGTTGCAGGCATCATTTTATAGTACAGACAATGGATATATTTTCAGGAGAAAGAATGAGCGTGGCATGTGGCATACTTGAAATGCCTACTGAGGAAGGGGTGGCCACCAGGTCATAGAAATGGGTAAATTCAGTGCCTTTGGTAAAGATGTGGACACTGTTTTAGATACAACTAGGATACATGCCTTTTGCTTACAAAGCAAATATATAGCCATCTCTTTTTGGACAGTGGTTTCTCACTACATCCTCATGAACAAGAAGGGTGTGATTACTGAATGCATCGTAGATGCTGCCCACAAAGCTTTCTGCCCACAGAAATCAGTGTGTTGCTCAGCAACTTGGGAGGCCCATTCTCATTTAATTATCCCTCAAACCTGCACCAGCTTAGTTCCTATGTGTTTAAACAAAAAGAAAAAACAAAAGAGGTGTTGTGTTGCTTGAAATGTTGCCTACCATGGCTCTAAGCACAAAACCCCAAGGAAATTTCTCTGACGGTTGGTACATAGGTGGCTGAAAAGCCCACGGACTGGATGAGGAAGGGAGATAAGACAGGACTTTTGTTCAGTTGCTTGCAGAACAGAATGGATTCTTCCCTAACTTCCCATGCCAAGCAGGACTACATGCAGTCAGGCTTTACACTCAATGACAGATCTTCATTTGCACAAACAGAACACTGATCTTCGTGAACTCTCCAGGCCCTCTCAGTCTTCTCATAGGGACAACTGGAGAGGACTCCAGAGAGTTGACCAGTCTGGTCAAAAGATCCCGAACTCTAGTGATAAAAGAGATTTGATTTTTTTTTTTCCTTTCTGGACTCTTAATTCTGTCAATGACTTCAAGTCTATTTAAATAGTCCTCCTTGTTGCTTAGTAACATTTTCATAAGCTAATAATCATCACATTTTCCCTTAAGTTACTTTCCAGGCTCAGTGACCCCTGACTACAGTAGCAGTGTGGGGCAGGGGTGTGTACATAGTTCTGATAAGTGTGTGTTACATGGATTATAAGGACTTTATATTCAACGTTCAACAGCATTTATCAAATGTCTACTCTTTGACAGACACTGTGCCAGCCACAGGAGACAGACACATGCATGAGATCCACTTGGAGGCATCCAGGAACTCACAGAATTGAGGATATAAATAGTTTGGGGCTGGGTGTGAAAATTGTAGAAGTGTTAAGTATTTTTGACTTTGAGAAAGAACGGTAATATGCTTTGATATGCAGGGGATTATTTATTCTAGGTTAAGAATAGGGTTACTGGGGGGATCCCTGGGTGGCGCAGCGGTTTAGCGCCTGCCTTTGGCCCAGGGCGCAATCCTGGAGACCCGGGATCGAGTCCCACGTCGGGCTCCCAGTGTATGGAGCCTGCTTCTCCCTCTGCCTATGTCTCTGCCTCTCTCTCTCTCACTGTGTGCCTATCATAAATAAAAAAAAAAAAAAAAAAGAATAGGGTTACTGGATTCTGATTTGGGGGATGGTCAGGGTTATTAACACTTGTCTATTGTTGAGGCTATGGTTTCATTTTGCATTTGCCTTTTATGTAGGCAAAAGATCTTGTGTAACTCAGATCGGGGGGTGCCCCCAGCCCGGGCCAGAGTGAGAGGGCCAGACCTCAGCATTCAGTCTCCGTGGTTCTGCTATGACCACCACAGGCCTAATGTCCTCCTGAAGCACTGGTTCTACCCAGGTGCTTGGTGTCCACATCTACACATCCAAGTGCACCGTCTACCTGGGTGTGCGAGGCTGCTAGTGTCACTATGTCCACTGAATGTCAGGAATACCTGCCTATTTCGGAGCCAGTCTGTAGGACATGGTGCAGGATTAAAGTTGCACTGATTAGAGTGGCTGTAACTAACTTGTCTTTGTTCATCTTTTGTTCTCTCATCAGCCCCCTTTCTCAGGCAGGAACGCTCAAGCCAGAGAAAGGGAACGAAGTTGACGTCTCCAGTTCTAAGTTCTATTTGCAAATTCATATACTTGCGTGTTGTCATTTAGTACAAACATCTGGAGGCAACCCAGAGAGTGTAAGCAATGTGTCCGGCAGAGGACATGTTAAGTCCCTGGTGATAGACCTGGGCCGAGAACTCAGGCCCCCATGCTGCCCCTTCTGCCTGCTAAGTCTAGTGCTTCTTTCTGCCATCTTCACTGGTCCTCTGAAGGTGATGGACAGTGATGGATGGTCCAATTTCTGAGTAATATGTCCCCTTCTGGGAATCATCTCTACTCAGGTAAGTATGGGAACCCGGAATGAGCCCCAGGCTCTGTGCTTGTTCCTGTGGTCTGGATCAGAGTCCTCCACCAGCCTGAGCCCTAGCACTCTTCTGCCCTCCGGAGGGCGACCTGAGGCACCCTCCACATCAGACTGCCTTCCCACTTCTCACAATCCATCCTGAGGGGCTCTTGTCCCTCTCCAGAGCCACGAACTTGCTCCATCTTCTAGAAGGCCAGTTGACAGAGAAAGCTGATATGCTTGAAAGTCTTTACCCACTGCAGCTTCTAATGCATAATGATGTGCTTCTGTTTGTTTTCTCTGACAGAGTGTAGAACTAGGATATGTGAAAGCGTGAACAGAGATGAGTCAAGGCTACATTTAAGGCAAGGATGACTCAGGATAACGTGGAGAGCCAGCAGAGACCACAGATGGCTGAGGGGCCAGAGAAGAGAGCCAAGGGAGGTAGGGGACCAGACAGGTCACTTCCCTTATCCATCGGGAAAGGCCTGGAGAACAGAAGATGGGAGAGTGGATGTACATGTGTATGCATGTGAGTGTCAGGGGCATTTTTCATGTGCGGCTTATTTCAGGCTTAGGTATTTTGCTCTTTCCATTAAAGTGAATAATCATGAAAACTCTGCAAACCTCATTCATGTGGAATAAAATAGGTTGAGGATGAAGACATTTTGATCTTAAGTAAATGCCAAATACCCTCTCACATCCACCCATTTGGGAAGTGCATGAGTAGCTGTGTCCAGTTATAAATGCTCCTACCAGTTTGATCACCCACATCCTAAATCCCCCTTATTAAAAAAGAGTCTATTTTTCTTATTTTCCTTCTCTGAAAGTATCCTAAGAGTTGGTCCTACCTTTCTATAAACACAATCAGTGATTAGCATAAAGAAGCATCTTTCATCCATAAGAGACTTAAAAGTGGGGAAGTTCAAGCAGAGTGGCTACTGACCTTCGCAGTTATGCCAAAGCTCGAGGGTTCTCCATTTCTCGAATTAAACGCTCTCTAATTTTGTTTGAATATTTCAAACAGGGAACAGCCCTTTGGGAGGAAGGCAGCGGAGAAGTTTCAAAGAGAAGAGAAATTACGGAAGTCCTGGGACACTCAGGTCAGCATTCACATCTTTATTAGTGCTAGGCCAACGGGAGCAGTAAAATATAGATGCAGTTGCTCACCAGACGCTTCACAGGTGGGTCACAGAACATTCCGTAGTTTGCTATATGTCTTAGAAAATAGTCTCTGGTTTCTCTTGTTCTTTGGTTGAATGTGCCCCCCCCAAAAAAAAATTCTTTCAATTACGCTGATCTTTTTTTTTTTTAAATACCCTTGTCATGTGATTGCAAACACCACAGGGGAGGGTTGCCTCGTTCAGTTCCCATCAGGTTCAACTAAAGACTGGTTTTAAATGTTCACATCAACGTTACAGTTGGCTTTTTATTACCCAGGAGTTAGGGACTTGTTGACACCAGCAGGGTGGCTGTCTCCTTCTCAGCCTTGTGAAAAGCTCAAGAGATTTACTCATGGCCCAAGTGCACCCGAAAGAATTGCTTTCAAGGGACACCACAGCTGAAGACTGAAGAGTAATATTTATCAACGTTAAACAGACACTTGGTGAAGTATGCATAAATATTTCTTCATATAAACAGAGCACGAAATTAAATAGTTCAGAAACAAACAGCACTGAGTCCACATCCACTGTCGTCAGCTGTAAACACCAGCTCACACTGAACACAAAAGCAGCTGCTACCCTGGCCCTGGGTCCGAGACGTGAGGCTCTGTACAAGGTGAGATTGCTTCTCGGCCCTGCCACCCCCCCCACCCCTCCCATTCCCCACACAGCCCTCGCAGAAAGGAAAAGAAGGTAACCCCAATCACTACAGCAGTGACAAAAATGACAAGCAGCGGCAGCACCCCTCCCCCCATCCCCAAATACAACATTTAGCTTTTGGATCAATTCTAAGGGGATACAGAACACATTTTTTTTTTTTCGAAACGGAAGGAAATCAACCAGAAGCAATATTTTTCAAAACATTCATACTTTCTCCAGAGGACACACGAGTTCCCAAACCCCACCTATGACTGGGTGAAGGTGACACAACAAACCCTGAACGGCACTGGCCATGGCCAAGCAACACAGGCTGAACCCTCTTCCATCTAGAAGGTGCCAGGTAGGTAGCAAGAACTCAAAGACCACGCTCTCCTCCCCTCCTCACGAGGTCACTTCTGCTTGGCCATATGTATTGCTGGGTGTGACACTATTGACTGGCTTTCAAGCAGTTTGGGTAGCAGAAATTTTGTTGGGAAACATTCAGATTTAGATAATTGAATTCAAACTTGTGGCTGTGGTTCGTGTTTTGAGCTCAGAGGGACCCCGATCTCATTGAGCTTTGTGGAGATCAGCAAACTGCCCTGCTTACACTCAGGGTCTGGTAAAGCCCTGGTGCTGCATCTGCTTTGGGGTGGGTGGGTGGAGGGGGTGGCCGCTCTGCACACACCTGCTGGAAGGGCCTGGCCACGCTCTGCTGCAGGTTCCCCAGGGTGGTTTGTGGAAGAAAATGCCCTGGTTTCCAAAACATTACATTGATGTTGTGTTAGGATCCTAGAGAACTTCAGTCATCAGAGTATTAAAAACATATATTGCAAGAATGATTTGCCAGCTCAGTGATTCCCGCTATATATATATATATATATATATATATATATATATATACACACACACACACACACACGCACACACACACACACAGACATATATATACTTCTATATTTTTATTGGTATGAAACTGGAACTGCACAAAACAGTACTTTGCAAGAATCAAGTCCACAGATGGGGTTTAACAACACACACCAAAGAAAGACAGAAAGCTCTACTGGGACAAGGAGGTTCAGCTTTGCAACGTATGAAAGAATTTCAGAACCATGGATTCACTAGCCTGATGTGTTCCACATGGGATGCAGATCACCACGTTTGGGATCTCGGAAGGAACATGGCAACTGAGTCAGCTAGGTCTGTGCCTCTGAGATTCCAGTGGTCATGGGAACTCAAAGAACCCAGCAGATCAATTTGGGTATGTAATTGCTATGAAACAATTTTTCTTTTCCTCTTTAAGAAAAAAACACCTTAGAAGTCTATTTCAGGATAAATTTCTTTGTATTCGGTAAGACGCTTTATTTTCTTTTTTGCTGAATTGGTATTTGACTTTCTATATTAAGATGGATTTATTCAATGGGTCAGTAAACAGGCAGCTTCCTTTATATCTGGGTGATTAAAAAAAACAATCCATTTTTATCACCCTTGGAAATCACCCCCACCCTCAGCTCACACTCCCCTAAGGTTTGTGGGTTGATGTGTGCGTTTGGTCACTGCGATGGACAGAGCCTCCCTCTACGAGGCCTGCTCGGGCATGCGCTTGTGAAAAATGACCGACTGTCTCTGCTGGTACTGCTGCTTGCGCCGCTTGCGTTTGTCACACTGACACAGCAGCAGCATCTTGAAAGTGGTTCTGAATGTTTTGTTACACAGCGCATAGCACACGGGGTTCACCGTGCTGTTGATGTAGCACAGCCAGTAGCCCAGATTCCAATAGGTTTTGGGTATGCAGCTGTCACAAAAGGTGTTCACCAGAACCATGATATTGTAGGGGGTCCAGGTGATGATGAAGGCTAGCAGGATGGCACTGAGGGTCTGAGCCGCCTTCTTCTCCTTGATGAGGGACATCCGTTTCCGCTTGGTGATCTGACTTCTGGTCTTGAGAGCAAATCTCTTGGCCAGGGTGGCTTCCTTGAAGGACAGAGGTAGAGTGGCCGTGGTCTTCCCTGCTGAGGAGTTGACCTCAGACATCTTGGTCGGGTCCACGGCTGACTCTAATTGGATGGGAAGCTTGGAGAAGCTCTTCTGGAAACTGCCTCCATCGTCTAGGCTCTTCTGGGCCTGCAGCTTGCTGCCTTTCCTGTCCAAGTCTCCCAGCCCCAGCTCCTCGTCAGGCACCTGCAGGTTGTCTGCTGAGGGTAATTTGGTGGCATTGAGGATGGTGCTGTGACCGGGCAGCTTGAGCACGATCGAATAGATGGCTCTTGTCTCAGAGCCGATGTCTTCCTCATCGGAGGAGGCAGAGTTTTCCAGGGAGGCAGCGGCGTCGTTGTTATTCCAGCTGTCACTGCTGCTGTGGTCTGGGTCCATCTGCTCGGTGCTGGGCTTCCAGCTCTTGGTGGCGAACCAGAAGTGGCAGCGGCCGTACTTCTTCCTGGCCGAGCGTTTCAGGCTCTGCTGCTGGAGCTCATAGCTGCTGCAGCTTCGAGAGCTGCCTGTGGGGTGGACGAAGTTCTCGGCCTCTGCTTCCGTCCCAGACGCCTGCAGCCCGGCAAGCTCTTTGGTACGTTTCTCGGTCTCCTTATAGATCCTCCAGTATAAAATAGTCATGATGGTGACGGGCATATAGAAGGCAGCGATGGCCGTGCCGAACGTGATGGTGGGCTCGCTGAGGAACTGAATGAAGCACTCTCCGGGGGGCACAGTTCTCTTCCCGACAAAGTACTGCCAGAACAAGATGGCAGGAGCCCAGAGGATGAAAGAGATGACCCATGCCAGGCCTATCATCACTCCAGCTCTTTTTGTGGTTCTTTTGGCTCGGTAGGTGAGTGGCCGCGTAATGGAAAAGTACCTGTCAAAGCTAATGACCAGGAGATTCATAACGGAGGCGTTGCTAGCCACGTAGTCGATGGAGAGCCACAGGTCACAGGCCAGGTTTCCCAAAGCCCATCGATTCATGATGATGTAGGTGGTAAACAGGTTCATGGAGATGACCCCAATGATCAGATCCGCACAGGCCAGACTTAAGAGGAAGTAGTTATTGACTGTCTTCAGCTGCTTGTTGACCTTGAAGGCCACGATCACCAGGATGTTGCCGATGATGGTCACCAAGGCCAGGATGCCCGTTAGGAATGCAATGAAGACCACCTGCCAGATGGTGTGACCTCCCAGCGGGTCACTGGTGGTGTCATTTGAGGAGGACAAATTTCCAGCTGCCTGAGAAATGTTGTAGCTGCCGAAGTGAGTGACGGTGCCTGGAGGCAGCCCTGCGTCCAAGGGGCCATGCACCCAGGACAAGCTGATGTTTGGAAACAAAGGCGAGGTTGTACTGTTAGTGTGCAAGGTCATTGTGATTCTCGGACATAGTCTGGAGAGATAAGAGAAAAGACGCAGTTAGAGAAACATCTTCCTTTGTTCGATTGGTTTTTTGCATCACACAATTTAAAAATACATGGGAGACGGCTTACAGGATGCTCACTCTCAGGCCGGAAATATCCAGCTCTTTCTCTTACTTTAAAGGTAAGGAGATTAGAGCAGGTAGTTTGATTTGTTTGTGCACAGTTAGCTGGTGGCATGCACCGCCTTCTCCTCATTTCTAAGTGTATACCACGTCCCCTTTCACATTATGCTGTCATCAAACCAAATCTCTTATTATTTTTTCTAAAGATTTTATTTATTTATTCATGAGAGTCACAGAGAGAGAGAGAGAGAGAGAGAGAGAGAGAGAGGCAGAGACACAGGCAGAGGGAGAAGCAGACTCCATGCAGGGAGCCCATTGCAGAACTCGATCCCAGGACCCCAGGATCACGCCCTAGGCCGAAGGCAGGCTCTAAACCGCTGAGCCACCCAGTGATCCCCAAATCTCTTATTTTAAAGAGAAGTGGTTGGGGGGGAACACTTGGGTGGCTCAGTGATTGAGTGTCTGCCTTTGGCTCAGGTCGTGATCCCGGGGTCCTGGGATCGAGTCCCACGTCAGGCTCCCCACAGGGAGCCTGCTTCTCCCCCTGCCTGTGTCTCTGCCTCTTTCTCTGTGTCTCTCATGTTATTCATAAATAAAACCTTTAAAAAAAATAAAGATAAGTGGGAAAATATGAGATGCTTCTAGGCTACTGATGCAGCACAGCTTTATCATCACACTACTCGATAAACTGATCTTATTCATCTGTATTTTTTCCACCTGGGCCCATACCTATCCCGGGCTGGAGAAATACACAGTGTTAAGGAGACAGCAAGCACTTAAGCCTCCCTGGAATGAGCAACATCAACCCGGAACAAGTGTAATTCACTTTGATTTGTATCACCTCTTTAAGATGCAGATAGAAAAGCAGCGTATTGGTTCTGTATGGTGGTTGATAGCGGTATACAAGGCAGCTGTCATATATTTGATAATATGCAGGATCTTTGCCAGAATATTCTGAATGGACCCTACCAGTTTTGAATATTTTCAGTATTTAGATATTTTAACTTTAGTGCTGAGAAAGTATTTTAGCACCACACGCACACCTTTGGTACAAAGACTTGCAAAATTGCAATTAGTTCTTCAAACACTTGTTAACCAAGATACAAAAATAACTAAGAATCATTAGAGTGGATGCATCACCAGTAAGACCCCTGTGCTGTCACAGAAAGTTCTAGGTGAGACTTGCCCCATCCCCTCAGATCCTCCGGGGTTGTTGGCCTAGGGATGCTCACACATCACCAGCCACTATGGACTTGACCCAGTAAATCATTCCTCAACGAGTGTCAGTCTATGAGTTCAATGTCAGATAATCCTAGCAAAATACTATTGGGAACACTTGTGTTTCGGCTCTTGATTTAAAAAGTGGTAACTATGAACTCTTATGTACAAATATGTACATAAATCACCTGGCAAGAGCCCTGGATCAAGCCTTTAGACATCGCATATCACAACAGTCTCTCAACAGACAGCGGTCAGATTCACACACAGCCTTTTGAAATGGCCTCAGCACAGAGTAGGAAGACTTTGCAGTCCCAATGGCGTAGTTTCAAATCTCAGCTCAGCCACTTCCTGGGGTGGGGTCTTGGGTATTAACTTTTTTTGAGTACCAGTTTTCTCATTGAAAAATAGAAATAGGCATGCAAGCTGGTACAGCCACTCTGGAAAACAGTGTGGAGGTTCCTCAGGAAGTTAAAAATAGAGGTACCCTATGACCCAGCAATTGCACTACTGGATATTTACCCCAAAGATACAGATGTAGTGAAAGGACAGGATACTTGCACCCCAATGTTCATAGCAGCAATGTCCACAATAGCCAAACTGTGGAAGGAGCCATGACGTCCTTTGACAGATGAATGAATAAGATGTGGTCTAGATACACAAGAGTATATTACTCAGCCATCAGAAAGGATGAATACCCACCATTTGCTTCGATGTGAATGGAACTGGAGGATATTATGCTGAGTGAAGTAAGTCAATTGGAGAAGGACAATCATCATATGGTTTCACTCATTTGTGGAATATAAGAAATAGTGAAAGGTATTATAGGGGAAAGGAAGGGAATTGACTGGGAAAATTAGAGAGGGTGACAAAACTCCTAAATCTGGGAAATGAACAAAGGGTTGTGTAAGGGGAGGTAGGTGGGGGGATGGGGTGACTGGATGACAGGCACTGAGGAGGGCACTTGATGGGATAAGCACTGGGTGTTATATGTTGGCAAACTGAATTTAAATAAAAAATTAATTAATTAATTAACAAAGAAAAATAGGAATGAAACATTCTGTATAAACTGTTGAGAAATTTAATCTAGAATTCAATAGTAAGTGGTCAAAAAAACTTTGTGTCTCAAGGCAATGTTCTAATATGTGTAAAGTACTTAGTATGGAGCCTGGCACAGAGTGTGTGCTTTATAAGCATAGGGTCTATTGTTACTTTACTGTTCTTTTTATTGAACAATGAACTCACTTTGTTTTGGCTTTCAGATGCTCAAAGTTCAATATAGTGCAATAATAAATTATTAAAAGAGAATATATATTGGACACTTCCTAACTGGTACATGTTGTGCAAATCACCATATGTTTTGTCCCATTTAATCTTTAAAAATAATCACATTCTATAAAAAACAGAGACGCAGAGAGTTAAGTAATTTGTCCAAAGATCAAGCTAAGGAGAGGGGAGAGATTCACACCCAGATCATCTCAAGCTCACCATCTCCTAGCTCCATGGTGATGTTTCTCTAACTCTCCACTAGCCTGTCCAGATGCTGCATACAATGAGACTCTCCTAACTGGCTAAAACTCGTATACATCTTCACGTGGATTTATTTATTTATTTATTTATTTATTTATTTATTTATTTTTAAAGATTTTATTTATTCGAGAGAGAGAGAGAGAGAGAGAGAGAGAGAGAGAGAGAGACACAGAGACACAGGCAGAGAGAGAAGCCGACTCCATGCAGGAAGCCTGATGTAGGACTTGATTCTGGAACTCCAGGATAATGCCCTGGGCCTAAGGCAGGCACTTGACCACTAAGCCACCCAGGCGTCCCTTCATGTGGAATTAATGTGCACATAAAAATTAATGAGATACTGTTTGTCACCTAAAAGATAAGCAAAATATAAACGATTGGATGAAGGCAGTATTGAGGACAGGGTCAAGGAAATAATTTCATGGTCTCAGCTACAGAGTAAATTGGTCAACAATGTGAGATGTAATTTAGCAGCATCTGTCCGAATAATGCACAAATACCCAGATCTCAGGAGCTGACAATGTGTATGTGTAGTATATATGTATTGTGGGTGTGTGTATAAACATAAAGTACATGGTTGGACATACACAATCTTACATACACTTGCATACACATATATACTTGTATGTATTTATTTCAGCACTACCTGAAATAGTAAAAAAATTAGTCTAAACATTCTAATGTATTGTTCTATTACAGAGAAGAATAGTTTAAGGACTTCTGTATAATCCATACATGAAATCTCCCACAAGTCACCAATTTCCAATTACAGATAATGGATAGAGTTTTCTTCCTTATTTCTTTTCACTCCTCTGGGTTTTATTAGGTGCAATCAACTCATCCTCACCTCCAACTTGTTCCCACAGAAGGATGTCCATATTTGGGAGGTGCTACCTGGTGTTTGGGTAGTCAACTGCATTTAGTTTCTTCCCAGATGCAAATACGGAAGATCTATCTGCTCTCTCCCTCTACCCGGTTCCTGGGTTCCCATGGCTCCTCAAGGTGTCTTCCCATCTTCCATATCACACCTGCACCCATGTGGATAGAAGAGAACAGACTTCTCTTGGACCAGACATAGAGTCCAACATTCCATCTCTGAGGTTTACAGTCACCTCCTCCTGGGGAGGCGAGGGACTCTCTGGCATCCTCCACTACTTGTGCTCCAATGAGTATTCTTCACGTGATCACCCTTAGTCATGGATTTCTCTTCTACCTGCCCCTTAACCCTGCTAATCTTTTACACATTCTTTGAACAGCTTTATCTCCCCAACGGCTTTCATCCGAAAGCTTCCTGGACATAGCGGCTGAGTTTGTGTCCTTGCTTGGGTACATTCCTTCCTTCTTCCTGCTCCTCCTCTCTGCCCCAGCCCCTGCTGTGTGCTCTGAATCTCACACAACCTTGCACAGCACCTTTTAAAAAAGCACAGCACCTTTTAAAAAAAGCACCTTCTAAGTCTCTGCCATCACATCCCATGGAGTTGATCATGTTCATAGCTTTGGCCTGGCAGATTTTCTAGTAAATCACTATAATGGCCAATAACCCCAGTGCTTCATATTTGTGTTGATGATACATCTGTCTCCTCTCTTCTTTGTTTATTCTCGTCAATGCCATGCAGTGGATATCTGCTCATCTTTCCTTCAGCCATTCTTTTGGAAATGCCCTGTTACCTACAGTATGTATTTCTGGAAGGGCATCAACCACACAGCCCTGACTCCTCTACCTCAGCAATAAACATGAAGAAAACATGCAAACAGGATCAGTAAGAGTAAATTTAGGGAGCTGATAAGGATTCTGGAAAGAGAGAGCTTCTCTGTCCTTTGGGATTTCTAGGTACTGGCAACCTATTTATATCCACATGGAAAATCTGAGAAGCAAGCAAACATGGAGGAGAGATATGGGGGAAGGAGAGAGATGGTAGGCAATGTGGAGCACAAAGGCAGCATGATCTGATGTCCTCTCAAACCTGGTTCTAGCCACTCTTGACCTTGCAAGTTATGGGAGCCAACCATTTAGGTAATTATGACTGGTGTTATTGAATTCAGTTAGTCAGGACTCCCCTCTCCATGAACTTACCTTCCTAGATGAGATATGGCATATGAATAAAACAGTTTTTAACAAGCACCAAGTATTTTAGGCAATGTCAAAGTGCTCCCTGCAGGGA